TCTGTGTGCAGCAGGAGTCCACAAGAGACTGCTCACTTTTTTCTCCTTTGAAAATTCTTGAGCAAATACAGTGCCTTTCTCCATGCTGTCCTAATGAAGTTGAACGTATCCCATCCTGGTCCATCATCTAAGACATCAATAAGTTGTAGATAATCCAGGATCGAACAGCCCAAGTCCTGGGCTATCCATGATCTTCATAATTTCAAACACATTTGCAGCACCGATCTAGCACAACTTTGGAATTCCTCAGAATAATATTTTTTATGATTTTACAACAGTGATAGGGATGAGATTTGCACACCATCATTTATTTCTAAAGAACAAAAAGGTTTTGTAAAGGCCATGTCAAATTTCATTCAAATGGAACAAATAACTTGCCCAATAAAAGCCAATTCTCTGCACAGAAAGTGGTATTCATCAAAGTTTGTTTCAGTCCTGTTGTGTTGATGCAGTAGATAAGTCTTTTTTACATGCCTCAGAAGTCTTTTAGAGTACAGTAGCATCATCCAGATGATAATGGACAGCAGGCTAGTTAGTGAAAGTCATGGACATAGTTTTCAGAAAATTTTATGTGGTGGCTGATATGAATGCTTTAGAGGTCTCTGTTGCCTGCCAGAAGTGTTACATTGTGAGACACACTCTGTACAGAAAAACTATAAAACATCTTTGTCTATCAGAATAAATACTTGTTCAATGGTGACAGAGTTACAGGGTATGTCTGTCACCATGTCTTCCTCTGGCCTCCTTAAGGTCATGCAGTATGAAAACAGTATGAAAATGCATGAAAAGATTTGTTCTTTCCTATGATTATTGGTGAAATCCATTTCTAAACTGAATCTAGTTATTTTAGTGCCACTGCTCAAGGCTCATTTTCTTAAGCTGTTGCACTAACAAGAGTTTCTGATCACATGGCAACATAATTTCTGTCATCCTTCTGTCATACTGAGTCAAATAGTTATTCTCCGCACAAGGTCTTTTTTTTAGGAAAGTTTTACTGATGTGGTGGTTTCTTATGGGAGTGTTACAATACACTTTGGTGGCATTGAATTTGTGTCTCTGTCAATTATTTACTTGTTTTAATACCTGAAGCTGGTCTTTGCATTGGATAGTGTATCAGCATATGGAGTATAAATTTTGTCAGGTATAAAATCTAAATAAAAATTTCAAATTTATTCATAAATAGACAAGCACAGCAACTTGGTTCTACAGGCAGCTCAGGAATATGGTTCTATAAGTGGCTCCAGACACTGCAAATAAAATGACTAGGAGAGAATAAACACTGTAGATAGTTGGTCCAGCTTCTTTTCTGTAGCCTATGACTGCCCTCCTGATGTAAGAGAAGCATCAACAATGCTGCGGTGCCACACATCATGTGTTAGCCGCTGCATCTATGCTTATTCACAACACTTCCCCTTGGCTCAGTAACTTGTGATACCTGTTGTGGAGGCAAAGACTTCTGCTGAAATTTAGCCATATGCCTCTCTCTTCTGTAATGGTTTGCACTGAGCTTTCTTCACTGGAGCAGCCAGGTCATTTGCACTGTGCCGTGTGGATTTGTGAGGGCTGCATCTTTTCCCTTGTTAGCTAGTAATTCACAGAGCTTATGGATGCGTGTTAGTGTTACTGTAATTATCCATTAATCATTATTACACACAACAGAATTGCTGACTTACTGTACTCTGGGTTGTCATTCGCATGCTTATTATGCCCAACTTAGTCCCATCAGTGATGGTTAAAAGCTCCTGCCAGATTAGGATCAAGTGGGAATACACTCAAATCCTTCCTATTTGCATGCGCTGACTGACATGTAATGATCTTCTATTTTAAAGAAATAACACGATTTTTGTTGGCTCACTTGGCTATTTTCCATGCTGCTGAAATTTATACTGTTCATCTGCCACATTTATTTTTGGTCAAAAACAATTCTTTAAAACTAAGAATGTACTATTTTGTTTTTCTCTGGCAAGGAAGAATGCCTTAGGATGCAGACCTGCCTGCAAATCCAGTGTGGTGTTTACATACTGCCTCTGCTGTCACCCATCTCACCCACACCACTCCCTCTCCAACCGCTCTTGCAGTTTTACTGGCTGATTTCATTTTGGCTTATTCTTTTGCCTTTCCAGGACATAACCTAACACAGTATCTGACTGCCAGCCTCAGTTCTGTTGCTCAGCACTGGTGCATGGGTTTTTCTATACTGACAGAAGCGTGGATGTAATCATGCTGGCCAGCAGCCACGTGACATTCCTTGGGAGCAAAAAGTCTAACACAGTAAGCTCTGGTTTGCTGATCCCTGTATCAGCAAATATATGTATTTTTTAGAGGAACATAAACAGAACTTGTCCTGGCTATAGGGCAGCCAGGGAGATACAGCTGAACTTGCAAGACGGTTGGCCTTCTTGGTAGACACCTGGGCTAGCAGCCAGAGGATTTGCGTTTAATTTACAATTAAGTCATCTATGTTTATTTCTCAGAAAATACATATTTTAAAAATTCTGAAATTAAAACACGGTTAAAACTCTCTACAGTAAACAGAAATCTTTAGAGGAAAGAATGGCTGGCAGCTTTGCTCTTTGTTCAAGCTGTAACAGATTTGAAGTTTATTTTATACCCAAGGCTTAAAAGATGCTTGAGAGAGTTCTTCAAAAGGAACTGCACATCTGTGGAAGCACTCACCAAATACTTCAGATAATGCTTAATCTGGGCTGGATGCCCCAGAGATCAAGTCAAAGAGAGAAGTGATTGTTTTGCTTTTGATATCTACACCCAACCGCCTTTAAATTGGGTGACATTTCAGCTGCAGGCACATTATCAGTAGCCCGAGATCAGAATAGCTGTCAAGTACTTTCAATTTGGAATAAAAAACAAACAAGCAATAGAGGTCATGAGTTAAAAATGTAGGACATGCTTTTAAGCTTCTCAAGCCTCGTTGTTCTCCCACAGAAAGGAAGCTGTAATATCTCTCCATGTAACTTACATATCAAGGTGGTGAAGGAAGCCCTAACAGAGACCAACCAGTATTCCAGAAAATGCTCCTGCTGTATAATTATTTGAAAAATGAAACTCTATAGGACAGGAAGGTTAACAGGATAGATTAATTTTTCTCAGGGTTCTCATATCTATGTCTTCAGCAGAGGCTGTGTGAAATTGGTCTGTCCCCACCCTCACAAGATGGGAACAAAATGACTTCATGCTGACTCTGTTAAGTCTCCCACATCATGCAGTCTGGGACATCCTGGCACAGAGGGGCAAATTACATTTTGAAGTGCAGAGGTCTAGTTTTTCTTTCAAAACTCCAGAGTTATTCTGTGATAAAGTGACTAAAATTTTACTGATTTTTGTCTTCATGATAATTTCCTCTCAAAGACATTTTTGTTAGGAATGACAGAGGATTGGTTTAGTGTTAAAAGGAGATGAAGCCCCTCCACCAGACTTTGGCTGAATGATGAGACCATGAAGTCTTCTGCTTGTCCTAATTCTCCTGTGTTGTTCTGTAGATGAGTGCTGAGGATTTATAATTCTAAAGCATGCCTGGTGTCTCCAACAGTACCTTCTGACCTAACAAATCTCAGTTGTCACTTTCTAAGCTCCTTTCTTTTGAGGGCCCTGGAAAGCCCAAGATGTTCATATCCCATCCTGCTGCCTTCTGAACACTCAGAATCACTTTATTTTTTTTTTTTTTTTTTAAATCCAGTTAGGAATTCATTGTTAGGAATCCAGGGAAATGATAATCTATTCCAAGAAGCCTTTGCAGGTGCCATCTTCAATGTGAGAAATCCCTTCCCTGCATATCAGTGAAAAAACTTCACCCTGTCAAAAAGGATTCCAGGTCTTTCTTTTGTATAATTCCCTGTTCTGGCAGCAAAGGAAGGCTTAGCAGATCTTCATGGAAATAATTTCCTTTTGTTCACAAGCTATGAATGAAGATACTTCTTAAGCCCCCCATAGACCTTCACAAGCTTTACACCTTTTTATCACAGTATCAGACAAGTAATACCAAGTACTACTAGCAATGTGAAAAATTGCCATAACCTGCCAAAAGTGTGCTGATTGTCCAAATGTCCTAAAAAGAGTCCACACAGGTGGACTTCATTGAGTTTCCTGATTCTGCAAGATCCTGAAGGGACCTGAGGGCTAGTCAGCACACTCTGCCCTGCTGTAAAGCCTAGAAGAGCTTTGGTGACCTAAAATTTAATGGAGATCACTGAGCTCAGTTCCAGAGTTTACTGCATGTTCTTTCCATATTCTTTCCCTGGCTCACAGGAAAAATGGAGAGATGGTTGGGCTTTTCTTAAGCCTTTCATTCCACCAGTCCTCTGTGCATATGCAATAGCTTACAGAAGCTGGTTTGAGGAGGCCTCCTAGCTAGGGTAAGTGAGCAGTAACAGTCTCTTGCCTGGGATGGAGAGTGTGTAGGGAGCTCCCTCTATTGATTTTCCAGCTCTTAGGAGAAAGGTTGAGTTCTCCATGTCCTTCACTGGGGATAAGCATGAAGTCTTGAGTGAAATCCATGCTAACAATAGCCACTCAGTGTAATGGCTTCTTAGGCATTGGGATGCACTCATACTACCTAATTATTGACATCTTGAAGTCAGGTGTCTAATTTAGTTGCTTGGCCTCAGTGGAGAGAAATGGCTGTCTCCAGGTTGGTTCATTAAAGCTATCACGGGCATTTGTTTTAGGAAAAGTTGCCCTTGGAAGGTGACCGTCACTCTCTATTTGTTGTAGGTTGGATGTTGAGTTTTTAGTCTGAGAAGTTGGATCCCACACCAGATAACTTTTTCTGACTGACCTCTTAAGAAAGAGTATTTCTTGACTTTTTGGGTTTTTTTCTCTAACATGAAAGAGAATCTGTTTGCAGTAATACACTGCAATACTTTAAGGACTATGCAGTCAATATATTAAAATATTTGTTTAGAAACTGTGGTCTAAAAGCTATACACTGAGCAGCAATTTAGTTGTTGGCCTTGCTCTTCAAACTACAATATGTTTAATTTCTCTTAGTTTTCCTGTATTTTTGCTAGAACCTATTTAAGAGTTTTAGAATTTTGCTCATCACGTCTGTTTGCAGGGTCCATCATGCATTTGGAAATGCAGGAACTATACCATTACCCCACAACTTCAGATGTCAGCTCTGAGTCATATGGGTTTTTTTCTGGATACAGATTAGGGAGAAAGATATTAATTTCCAAGAATAAAAAAAGAAGGTTGAAAGAGTATGGGGTGCTCAGAGACTATGGGAATTGGGAACCAGGTAAGGGCTTGCAGGGAGAAAGAAATGAAACAACTTTTGCAATGACAAGGGAGCAACCTCTGTTGTACTGTAATAGTAAAACAATTACTATTCCATTAAAGGATGAGCTGTTATTGCTGAAAGACATCCCATAAAAAAAAGAAGCAGCCTTGCTGCAGAAAATTAAGTTGTGCCTTATGCTGCAAGACACAACATCTCACAGGCAACAGAAAATACTCGCTATAGTAGGGAATATTAGGGATTAGAGATAAAGCACTACCTTGCATGGAGTTGGAGGCCACATCTCAGTGGGGATGGGTGGGGAGAGATGGGAGATTCCTTGAGTGTGCTTTCCTCTCCTGCTCACTGCAGTCCTGGTGAAGGATGCCATCACGCTTTCCTGACATGTGCTCTCCAAAGCCTTCCCTGTTTCTTAGGGATGCTGAGAAGGACACAGGCTTTGTCTGATTCACCAGTAGGCAACCCTATGTTTAAGGTGGGAGTCTTGGCTTAAACGGAGTGCAGGCAGCCGCCTGTGGAAGTCACTGCGGTTTTGAGAGACATTCTTCTGCATTAACTAAACAGAACATGAAAACAGCAGCTGTGGCTCAGAGGATGCATAGGCAGGTTACATCAGGGCTCTTGTCCTGGGTGTCCGAGGGCACCCACCGCAGCAGCCCCCGGCCCCGCTAGGTGTCCCCCGCCGTGTGCGCAAGATGAGCGGCTGCGGGAGCGGCTGCGGGAGCGGCGGCCGGAGGGGCCGTGAGTGTCGCAGCATCTCGACACGGGTGTCGCAGCACCGCGGCCTTGGCTCAGTCATTCACCAGGAGATTTTTGCTCCCTTTCTTTCCAGCCCTAGGTCAAACTCGAGAGCATCTTCTCTAACCCCGGGCTGTTAATACAAAATAAAGCTCAGATCCGAACTGCCCCAGTTTTACTTTGCTTAAACCTGTGGTGTGGCTGAAGCCTTCAAGGAACATGGGAATTCACTGCCCTTTCGATAATCATATTTTTTTTAAGCTATCAAAGTGGTTTATACAGACGAATGACAACTCAAATAGTAGAAAGAACAGCCAAACATTCAAAAGCAAAATTAGATGTTTTGGAACTTTAGTAGTGAAGATAATTTTCCACTGAAAGAAGTTTCTTACAGGTGTTGATGGAACCTCCACCCTTGACATTCTTGATAATGTTTCTGTTAAGACTGGGTATTCTTCTAAAAGCCAAGTTTCAGTTTCACTCAACATGAAAAAGGAATAAATTCCTGAAAACTTTATGCTAGGAAAGAAGTCAGATGGCAAACTCTTCTGCTCCTGAAGTCCATAAGTCTGACAATGCTTCTCTGTGTGATGTCTGGTATAAGCAAGAAAGATGATATAGCAAGAAAAATAATAAGGCTGGACTGGGGCAATAACTCAAACAGAAATGAGTGAGGAAGTATATGTCTTTGGCTGAGGTTGTCATTAAAAAACACAATAACTCCAAGCACCAGTAAGTACCAAGCTCTTCAACATTCAAAAAAAGGGCATTGTCACCTAGGATATAGCTTTGGCAGAGTGTAGACACCCATCTGGACACAATGATGCAAAAAGCCCCCCTTTCTAAATGGGCTGAAACTCATCAGCCACATTAACACTCCACAGAAGCAGGAAGAGATCCCAGCATGCATAGCAGCCTAAAGATTAAAGTCCTTATCCTGCATTTAATGTAGCAAAATAAATATAAGGATGGGAGAGAAAGTGACAGAGAGAGGTACAAGGGGCAAATAGGATGCTATGCTGGCATAATCAGAGTTGTAAGAAAGCTCTTCCAGCTCTCAGAGGTGGCAGATGAAAGAGGAGGATGTTTGGATTCATTCTAGCTTTTATTTTTTAATCTTTGATAATAACCTCCTTTTCCTTCTTATGAGGACTTTCCCATAAAACCTTGTGGCTGAATACAGACACAGGTATACCCATCCACAGATATTTAACACAGAAACACAGCTCTTGAAGACCAGATGTGCATTCGAGAGCACCATCTGAGAGAATTAGAATGTCTGTTGGGAATTACTGTGTTTCTGCTTTCTGCTAGACTAATATCTGTGAAGCTTTCTGTGAAAAGACATCCCCATCCCTGTGTTTTATAGAGCAGGAGTTCACTGGTGTAACATGGGCTTGGGAAATCTGTATATGACCAGAACCTGAGATATTTTTCTGTTTTTACAGCTTGTCAGAGCACAATACACTACAGCAAAATTTGTAGAAGTCCTCCTTGGACCACAAATGGGGGCTTATATTTTAAACCATCTCTGTTGAGCAAAGCTGAGCATCCTGGGTAAAGCACTCAGCAGGTATTTTTCCCTGGCTTGGTGGTTGCTCCTTGACTGCATTTGCAGAAATCATCTGACAGAATATTCATCAGATTAATCCTGTGAGAACAAAGTGAGGTATTTCTATTGCTACATTGCATCATGTATTGTGTCACTACCATGTTATCTTATGCCATTCTGATGCCTGGAGGCCCCACTGAGAAGGGAAATGTCACTGTGCCTGGCATGTGCTGTCCTTGAAAAGCACAGGAGGAAAGGTGGTGTGTGAGGGAAGCAGGAAAAGCAAATTCAGATGTCTGCATGGAACTTTTAAACCAGTAGGAATAAGTAACTGGAGTGAAGATTTTTCACAGGAAGAGACTGTCTTGTGGAGATGCTGAAAAGAAAGTGTTAGGACACAACTGACCTCAGAGACATTCATAATTGCACCCCTCTCTGAGTATTCCAGGGATCAGGAGGTTCATTGCTATCTTAAAAGTGAGAAGACCAAAAAGTGCAAGCAGAGGGGTTCAAAACAGAAAGAGCAAACCTCCTGCTATGCTGAGCAGCTGGAGTTTGAGTGGCTCTATTGCTCTGCCTGCACAGAGAAGACCAAGTGAATGAAGCTGCTAATGGAGTGCCTGGTTTTGGCTAGGCTACAAAACCCATTAAAATGGCAGAGCCAAGACAGTGACAATATTTTGGCATGACTTTTGGTCAAAGTGACCCTATATATCATTTTATGTATTTATTTTTCTATATGTATAGAGTCACCTCAATGACTTGGCATGCTTTCTAGTCATGCCAGCCAAAACAGACCTTTTCTATTTGGCTCTACCTTCAAACTTTCTGGCGTGTCAACTTCTACAAGGAAAGATGGCTAGCAGAGGAGTTTTTGGTCTCAGCTGGGATGTAGTGCCTTTTTTTATTTTTTTCTGCAGTCATCAGGGCACAGAAGGGAGAATCTGTGTTTATTTTTACATAAGAGGTAAAGACAGTAAAGACAATAAGAAAAAGAGCTAAGCAGGAAACAGTAGAGTAGGTGTTACTGTTTAAACCAAGTAGTGTGTGAAGTTTTAAAACATAACAGCACAAAACCGCATATAGTTTAAAACTGTCTAATGAAACCAGTTAGTAGAACAGTCTCATCTGAAAATACCTGGAAGTGTAAGAGTCAGGAAGTGTTAGAAGAGATCCACTTTCAGCTTCACAAACAACTAATACTACATGATGGGTGTAATACTTAATGCTTATGATTTGCCTGTGTACTCACTATCTGATGGTATAGCAGTCACAAGCTGTACAGTGTTTTAGTGAAGCATCATCTTAGACTCTGCATAAAAACCAGAAACAGACATGATCCACAGATATCCACAGTGAGGCAATGCTTTTGGAGAACTGGAAAGCAGAAATGTCAGAGGAGCTTAGAAGTTCCTATCTCATTGACAAAGACACCTTTCATGACCAAGAGAACGTGTTTGAAAGAACTACAGCAGGAGGAAGGGGAGTGGAAAATGTTATGTCAGGAACTCATGCTTCATCTTTAATGACATTTTACTTTGACATGGAAACTTGATTTCCTGAAGCAAGAAGCAATGAGATGCCGTGATGGTTAGCTGGATAAAAAAAAATTAGAATATACATCTCCTTCTCAGTAGAAGGCTGGGATCCTGAACATGTTACTTACAGATCTATACGGTACCCTTCTGAATCTGTTGCTTGCAGACAAGCTCCCATGCACAGTTCTTATGGGAATAATTCTTTGAGTGAGCTGCCCATTATCACCATTGGTATAAATTGCCATATTATTAGCACACTAGAATGAGCTGATGACAGCCAGGACTACTGTCCTGTGGTGGAGGGCTGTTGTCACATAATTCATGGTCTGGAAAGACAACACTTTAAAACCATGTTTAATATAGAATATATAACAACAACAATAGCAAAAAAGAGGCAATAAGAAATTCACAGGTCTAAGAGCTTTTAAAATTAAGGCAAATAGAGGTATGGGCATCTTTATTCAATCAAAACATTTGATTTGGGAAGAACAGGATATACTGTACTACTCTGCTAAATCTTCTGAATCAATAATGTTTTAATATCCATAATAACATATTTTATATGAGTAATTTAATATTTGTGATATTAAAGATAGCCTTCAGATAGCTCTGAAAGATTTTTCTAATTGTCAGAAATGGCCGTGTGTTTGCACTGACTTTAAGAAAACGTTTTGTCCATTTATAAGCAACACTAAACAGATACATAAAGAAATTCATCAGGAGACACACAACCTGAAGCCAAACCAGGATTATCTGTTGTTCATTTCTGAAGGTTCAATGCAGCAGCTGAGCCACAGAATCACAGAAGTGTTTTCTGGAAGGGACCTCTGGCAGTCATCTAGGTCAACTTTGCCTTGGAGTTGGACTATTGTTTACATCAGGTCAGATTGGAGAGAGCTGCCTGCCATTGTGGACTGAAAGAACAAAATGCTGATATGACATTCTGGTGATGTCAAGTTATTCAAAGGCAGATTATTAGTTTTACATCAATCTTGTGAGATGAAGGTATATAATTATTACATATGATGTAAATGAAAGTGTAGGTCTGATTGCAGTACAGGGAAGATACAGGCTTTGCTCCACCTGTAGGCTGTGAAAACATGTCCTAACATATTCTTTAACCCTTTTTAGGTGTCATGTTGGGCTTTCTAAAAAAATATTGATAGTAATTTTTTGTCATCTTCATAATTCCCTGATTGTACCTAAAAATAACCAAATAGAGTACACTGATATAAAATCTCCCAAATACCTGCTTTGCCAACACAAATTGTACCCTGTTCAATGTGGCATAAGATTTGGACACCATCCTGGTAAGGAGCAGAGATAATGCCATTTGGCTGAGGTCTGCTGTCCCTGTGCACACTTACAGTCTGGGCAAACAGAAGGGAATAATGTCAGCTTAAACTTCAGTAGGTATTTTAGCTCAGGAGATGCTAAAATTTCTTAACGCTTCAAAGATGTGGGGTGATAAAGCCGGCAATTACTACAAGATACTCTTCTAGTAAACCTTGGCATTGTGTTTATCACATGTATAAGCTGAACAGTGAATAGCAGGCTGTGAGGACGATTTCTTAACTCCTTTAATCCAGGCTTTAGCTGCAACATCTGTGCTGCCATCAGTATTTTAATGAGGAGAGAGACAGAGCAAAGCATAGTTCTGTGTCAAACATCCTGCTCCTTACACAGCACCGAAGTAGTGAACCAATCTCCTATTCCCCTTTGCTGCTGGGTCTTTCTCACACCATGTCATAGCTTCGAGAACTAGCACGGCATGAGCCTCACAGATGGAACTGGCTCGTGCGCGTACAAATGCTACAGATGTGTTTGAGTTCATATTTACTGGCAAGATGGCCATAAGGCAGGTGTTTAGGAAGAGTGTCCACCACTGGGTTACATAAAAAGAGAGCAAGTGTATTCATTCGGGTCATGGATGCAATTTACATTCTTGATCCTTCAGTATACTCTGCTATCCATCACAAGGATCCAACTGGAGCCAAAATATTTCCTTTCACCTCTTTGTCGCTTGATTTGCAGTAAATGTTGAAGTTCTTTCTTTCCTCCATGCCTGCCTGGCAGATTAGATAGGGAGCAACGATGCCGGCAGCAGATGTCCAAGTACCTGCTGCAAGGTGTTGACTCTCAGCATGGCACTACAAGAACTGATAGCTTGCAAATGAGATAGTGTGTACTCAGAGGACACCATCCAGTGCTGTCTTCTCCTCCTGGGCTGTAACAGCCTTTCTGAGCTCCTCTGGCTGCTGGGCAGGGGTGAGATGATGAGCACTGGACTCAACCTTAGAGTATCAAACAGGTAAGGAGCTGTAGCATCTTTGAATGACCTCCACTGGCTGCAAACCTGAGGGCTCTTCAACATGGTCAAGCAAGGAATATGGTCAACCATGTATTTTAATATAGAGAAATAAATGAACAAGTTATCTAACACCCTACCTGCAGCACGCTTTTGACATTACAACAAAACAAACTGCATCTGTTTAAACCATCTATGGATCTAGCCCATAATTTTCAGGATCACAGCAAACCACTCTGAAGATGGTTCAGATATAGTGTCAAACAGAATTTGGCCCAGCGACTGTAACCAAAGTCAGACTGTTTATTACCAGTTAATTTGTACACATGCCTGTGGCTCTTATTCTTGGAAACAATCTCCCTGAGTGACTGTGAAAAGCAGCTATTTCTGTTGCAGAAAGTACATTTTTCCTGTGGTAGACCAACTCATCTTGGAAGCTGCTCAGCTGATGAAGCTGTTTGTCGAATGTCCTTTATTTGTGTGTAGGAACTTCTGGCATAACGTGATAGATAATGTAGTTGTATGGCACCTGCATCCACTTTATTGTAGCTGTAGAACAAGGGATCGAATTCAGTCAGTGTGAGCAAAGAAAATTCTGCTGCTACAGGGAAATGTCCCTGTCATATACAGGTCTTGTTCTTTTCCCAGAGAATGAAGATGGGGAACTGAATCTGTGATATTATTTTAAACCATCAAGAAGAAGTAAATAACTGGTCTGCAATTTCCGGACACATTCTACTGGGAGCTCTTAAGGCTATTTGAGCATTTTGAACTACATTGTTTCCCCCTGAGCCGAAAAATTCTTCCCTGCCATTCTGCACCTTCTATTGATCATGGTTCAAGGATCAAAGTAAAGTGCATTTTGTGAGAAGCAAAGGTTAAAGTAATTCACAAAGTTACTTGACTACTGGGAGTTAAGGGCAAGCATTTGGGCAGCAAATACAGTCTAGAGCCCTTGTGTTCTGCTGTCTATCCATCTGCTGACATCTGTCCTGAAAACCTGTTTGCTTTTGCAAGAACTGCATCATGCATTAAAAAAACAGCACAGGCTTTCAAAAACATCAAAAAAGTCACTGGTGTGAATTCCATAGACCTATTTATCAATATGGCATTTTTCCTGCATTCACAAATAAAATAGTTATCCCTCTTCCCCATTTAGTGTTAGTGGCAGGAAGATTTTGTCCCTCAACTTTAACTAAGCACCAAAAGTCATGTCTTTATTTATTGATAAGCCTTTCCAGGGTGCCTGTCACTGTAGTATCTGAGGCCACTCAAGCCGTGACCCTGCCACATTCCTTGGGAGGCAGGGAAAGGTCTCAGGGGTTTATCGCTGCTGCCCGGGAGCTCACCCATCACTAACTGAAATAGTGCTAAGTGTGCAACCTGCTGATACCCAAGTCACCACTGGCAGTGAAGGTGGAGTGATTATAACAGTATTTGACTTGCTGTGACATGAGACACGGTACTTAAAAAATGGTCAGAGGGAGATTGGATGGAAAAGACAATAAAGCAGAAGCTGTTAATCCCTTTAAGGTGTATATGGTAATTGGTATAGAAGCTTATGTACCTACCTGAATGTACCAGAGAGAAGGAATCACTCACAGAATGACAGAATGGGTCAGGTTGGAAGGGACCACAGTGAATCATCTGGTCCAACCTCCCTGCTCAAGCAGAGTCTTCCTAGAGTATATGGCACAGCATTGCATCCACGTGGTTCCTGAATGTCTCCAGTGAGGGAGAGTCCACAGCCTCCCTGGGCAATCTCTTCCAGTGCGTGGTTCCCTGCATAGTAAAGTAGTTCTTCCTCATGTTCAAGTGGAACTTCCTGTGCATCAGTTTCTGCCCATTGCCTCTTGTCCTATTGCTTGGCACCACTGAGAAAAGCCTGGCTCCATCCTCTTTACACCTTCCCTTCAGATACTGACATTAATGAGGTCCCCTCAGTCATCTCTTCTCAAGGCTGAACAGGCCCAACTCTCCCAACCTTTCCTCATAAGAGAGATGCTCTAGTCCCTTAATCATTTTTCTTGCCCTCTGCTGGATTCATTCCAGGACCTTCATGTCTCTCTTGTACTGGGGAGCCCAGAAATGGACACTTCTCTAGATGTGGCCTTACCAGGGTTGAGTAGAGGGGCGGGACCACCTCCCTCAATCTGCTGCCAATGCTCTTCCTAATATATCCCAGGATAACTTTGGCCTTTTTGTTGTGCACCAGGATCTCCAGGTCCTTCTCCACAGACCTGCTTTCCAGCAGGTCAGCTCCCAGCCTGTATTGGTGCCTGAGTTTATTCCTCCCCAGCTGCAAGACTCTGCACTTGCCTTTATTGAATTTCAGATGGTTCCACTCTGCCCATCTCTCCAACCTGTCAAGGTCCTTCTGAAGGGCTGCACAGCACTCTGGGGTATTGGACACTCCTCCCAGCTTTGTGTCGTCAGTGAACTTGTTGGGGGGTGTCTGCCCTTCATCCAAGTCATTGATGAATAAGTTAACAACACTGGGCCCAGTACTGAACCTCAGGAGACACCACTAGAGACAGGCCTCCAGCCAAACCCTGTGCCACTGATCACAACCCTCTGGGATCTACCATTCATCCAGTTCTCAATCCAACTCACTGTCCACTCACCCACTCCACACTTCCTGAGTTTGCTTGTGAGGATGTTGTGAGAAACAGTGTCAAAGGCCTTGCTGAAGAGGTAGACAATACCCACATCATAGAAGGCAATCAGGTTGGTCAAGCACAATTTCCCTTTAGTGAATCCATGTTGACTACTCCTGATCACCTTCTTGTTATCCATGTGGATAGAGATGACCTCCAGAATGAGGTGCTCCATTATCTTTCCAGGGATTGAGGTGAGGCTGATGGGCTGGTACTTCTCTGTGCCCTCCTTCTTGCCCTTTTTTGAAGACTGGGGTGACATTTGCTTTTTTCCAGTCCTCAGGCCCCTCTCCTGATCTCCATGACCTTTCAAAGAGTGAACTGCCTAACTGTGGTGTCCACCAGCTCCCTAAGCACTCGGGGATGCATCCCCTTAGGGCCCATGGACTTGTGGATTTCAGTTTTTCCTAGGTGTTCTTTAACCCAATTCTCCTTGACCAAGGGAAAGTCTTTCTTCCAACACTCCTTTACTCTGGTCTCCGGGGTCAGAGATTCCTGAGGGCAGGTCTTGCCCGTGCAGACCGATGTAAAGAAGGCTTTCAGTAACTCTTCCTTTTTTGTGTCCTCTGTTACCAGGTTCCCCCCTCCATTTATAATGGGCCCAGATTATCCTTTGTTTTCCTTTTGTTATGGATGTATTTGAAGAAGTCTTTCTTAGCGTCCTTGACATCCTTGACCAGATTTAATTCCAGATGGGTGTTGGCCTTCCAGTGCTATTTTTTTTCCAGACCACTATTGGTATTTTAAAAGATTGTAATAAAAGAGAGGTCCTAAACTAAAACTAATTCAAAACTTGCATATTTTCTGGGCTTTCCCACTTCTGACAACAGCGAAAAATTTGCAGCTTAGAAGAACTCCCAGGAGAGGAAATATTATTTATAGCTCAGCCTTTTTTTCTTCACAATACCATGTTGCTGGTAAGCACATACTTAGAAATTAATTGAAAAATAATAATAACAAAAAATTATGAGAACTTTTCACCTCTGTGAGTAACTTTTTCTTTTCTGTTACCAGTCTTGAATATGGAACAGGGAAACAGGTGTCATAAATCCACAAAATAATTATTCCCCATTTGCTGTATTACATTTTATTTATATTCCCTAGCTGTTATTTTATGTTAAATCTGCAAGTTCTCTTGTTAGATTTTAGTTTTCACCCCAGTGAATGAGGACATAACACATAACCACTGTTGCCGCAGATATTTCTTTTCCAAAGCTTAATTACTCTCTGGTTATGTTCATAGGAGTTTTAAATATTTCCGAGAGGCCATGGTAACTGCGAACTTTTGCCACAAACTTGCTTTTTGATTGGAAATAACTGATCTATCAGGAACAAAATCTTCAGATGTTTTGCCATTAAAGGTTAAATTGACTTTCATATAGAACCTAGTAAGGTTTTGGCTTTTAAGGTCCAGGTTACCTGTCCTTCTCTGTTATATCCTTGGAGAAAAAGATACTTCAGACTTTCATGATGTTTGCCTTGGACTGGAGAGTTTGAAATAAATGAAATTTTGAGCTATGACAGAACCTGTTCTTTTAGTAGTGAGGACCTGCTTTCACCAGTGTCCTGTGTACCTACTGCACATAAAGAGGGAGATGTTAACTGCCATAAGGAGCATTTAGTCAAGCAGTGATTGAAGAGGTCAAAGGGAATAACAGCAGATAGAATAGATGTACAGATCTGTAGGCAGCTTCACAAAATGTGCCAGAAGAGATAGTTTTGCAGAATAGATCCTTGCAGACAAGCTCAGAGAAGCCCAACCATAGATTTCTGTTTTCTCTCTACATTTTATATGGCAGTATGGCATTCCCTTGGTTATGTTTTTACACCATCAGACCTGGTATTGCTTCCTTCAGATAAGCTCTCTCAGCCAGGGTGAGAGGCTGCAGACTTCAATGGGACACTGGCTGTCCAGTCATGCTGAGCAAAGGAGAGCTGAGCAGAGGCATCCAAGGGCCCATCAGCACAGATATGTGCAGTCATCTTAAGTGTGGGCCTGAAAATAATATTGCTGTTAGCCTGCCTCCAAACCTCTGCTGAAGAGGATTACCTTTGAACATGCTATTCTGCCTCCATCTCGGAACTAACATTTTTCCCATTTACTTGATGTCTCTGAGCCATGCTCCACTGACTGGAGTAGTCGGAGTATAATTTCCCTTCTATCAAAGAGCACCACTTTTCAGAACAGCAGTGAAGAGGAACACGAGTGTGCATAGCCTCCAGGACAGCTGACTATGGAGAATAAATAATCTGATTTTAAGTCAGGTGGAACTACTGTTTCTTTGTCCCACCATGAGCACAATCAGCATATGTAAGACCTTTTCTCCAGTAAACCTTGGTTTTCAGTCTCAGAATTTTTTCTTCATAGTCATAATTGCGTCGTTTCTACTTCTTTGCAATTGTCTTCATATAAAGCTTGAAGTAGATGGGTAAAATTCATTCTCTTTGTTGATTCCAAAGACTTCCGTTGAGCAGTAATATGAGACAGACCTGTATTTAGAAGGCTGATACAGTTAAAGTTTGAGGAGCTTAATGATAGTTCAAGATATGCGCCATGTAATGGGAGAGCTGGAGGGAGAAGCACAAACTACACTCCCAGTGGAAGCAGGGTATTTAGCACAGCATGGAGGCATTTTCCACCAGGTGATTCAAAAGCAGTTATGCTGCCATTGACTGCTGCCCCAGCTCTTATTACATCTGAATGGGGAGCAGACCAGGGTATTTCTCCACCAGAGGTGATCAAGGTCTGCCTAGCATAGATGCAGGGTGTGACCCGGTTAGCAAGATGGGGAACAGCACCGTGCTGGGTTGGAGGCGCACTGATTCAATGTTTCCAGCAGGTGATTTTTGCCAGTGCAGCTCCTCACGTTGTTAGAAGTGAAAATGGCTTTGCCTACAGGCACATTCTCCAAGGAGAGCAGCTGTTTTCATAGAAATGATTAAAATCTGTACCAATGAGACATTTTATCAGAGTTCTGGCCAGAACCCCCTCCCCTGCTTAGCTACCCCTGTGAATCTACTTGCAGGTGTTTCAAGATGGAAAGCTGAGAGAGGGAAAAAAGCAAAGCTTAGCCAAAAGTAAGCATGACTAACAGTTTAGTCATAATTGAGGTTTGTTAATTGCATAGAACCCAATTAAACCTTTCCACGTCTAAAATGGAATAACTTATGCTCACAGCAGAGCTGCTTAGCTGTTAGACATTTCTGGTGACACTTGTCTGTTGATTTGCTTTTAGATAACTTCTTGGCTTCAGGCCAGCCAGGACTGAGCTAAGAGGCTTTTTGTACATGTGTTTGCAGCACATTTTCACAAAGGGTTGCCAGAATTTTGCCCATGATGACTAGTGAGTGGATTTATTACATTATTATTTTAGATCGTTATATTATTATTATGCATGACTGACGTTGTGAAATTCTTACGTTGCAAAACTATGTAGAGTTAATATAAACCAGTAAGCCAGAGAGGCATTTTTGTAAAATTCCAACTTAAAGTGCAAATTTTATGTAATTGAAAAGCCATGACTTTATTCAGCATCTACCAGAATGAGAATACCTCCCCAAATATGTTTCCTCAAAGTGGACCTAGAAAAAACCTTTCTTGTGATTCTAAAAAAATGCGGATGACCAAAAATACACCATTTCCAAGTGTGTGTACCTCTTCCCTTCTTAGTTCCAGCTGGGACCACAAGTGGAAATACCAAAATACCACAGAAATGTAGTTCTTGTGGTACTTCCAGCACCAGCAGAAGCAGGAAGTATTAGAAATCTTCCAATAAATTATGTTTTCATGAGATTTCTAGGCCAGTGTTGCAAACTCAAAAAGTTTGAATAATAAACTCAGCTCTGCTTGTCCACCTCACCCTCTGGAGATTTACATTTATATTCAAGGACTGTTCTGTCTGAGATGCTGCTGATATTCCTTCTAAGTCATAACACATCTTCAGTTTCACATTAAATCCAGCAATAAATTGGATTAAGTCTTCTTATGAAAGACAGATTTAACTTTAGCCTTCCATTTCTACTAGCTGCCGGATAATTGTTTGCTTTTGGCTTTTTTCCAGGACAAAGGCAACCGCAAGACTCAGCAGTTTGCCCATGGCAGAAGAGCTGCAGCCAGCTCCTTGGGTGCATACCTTTGTCTGGACAGGTAAGAAACAGTATCATAACATGAAGAAGAAATAGTGAACACAGCCTGACCTGCACCTGAACTGGCCATGGCAGAGGAGAGAGGACTTCCAGGATGAGCTGGTGAGTGAAAGAACTTGAAAAATACTTCCGTAAGAAGAACTGTGTCTGTGGTGCACCCTGACCTGCCCCTGGTAAACAGCTCTTTCTTGTTGTACAGAACTCACTGAACCCAGCACCAGCTTTTTCTCTTAAGTGGCACAAACTGTAAGACACTGGATTTTGTGGATGGCTGAGCAGTTGAGGAGGGCTCACCAGATCAGCCTAAGTCTGTGATGGTGACACTATTGGGCATGTTTTTCTGTCCTTTTAGAATGGAGCTTTGCTGAAACCTCTGTAAGAAATCAGGTCACTGTGATCGCACTGGAGAGAATTTCATTGTATGAAGGTTGAAATTTCACCACAGACAAATCACAAGATTTTCATGACCTTGTGATCTCTTTTGTGAGTGGTGGTTGTGTAACAGATCCCCTGGTAAGATAAGACACATGAGGGTTTACACAAAGTAGGAAAGTTTACTAGAGATACGGCTTGCCACTCTCC